ACTTTTTATTTTATTTATATTTATTTTCTACAAAAATGGACCAAATTTTAAACTTTGGTAACATATAATTATGTATAACATTAAATCATGGATATGTTTTCGGGTTAAAACTTTGACATGTATTATTTTAGAAAATCAATGTAATTAGAGAAGGGTAATGCTTTTTTGTTCTCGCAATTCTTCTTAATATCCATTGTTATAAATCTATGTAATATATCTTGTATGTTTATAAATATCTTTTTTTTTTTTTTTTTTTTTCATTAAGGCCTTTGAGACCATCTTGCCATAGAACAAATCTTTTCCCATTCTTCTCTATTCTCCGCTACTTCTTTCCAGTCCCTGTGATCACATTCCGCTCCGCCAGCACTTAGGAAATCTTTTTTAATTCCATCTTCCCAGCGTAGCCTTGGTCTACCCAGTGGTCTTTTTCTCTTTGGGTTTTGTTGAAGTACCCTTTGAACCATTGAATCTTGCTTCCTAACTGCGTGTCCTGCCCATTCCAACTTACTCCGTTTGATCTCGTTTATAATATTTGGTCTATTGAACAGCTCCGTCAGTTCTTGATTATGTCTTTTTCTCCATCCTTGAAGCTCTTGATCATATATAGGTCCATATATTTTACGAAGTACCTTCCTCTCAAAAACTGCTAATCTTTCCTCCTCAGTCTTTCGTAACGTCCAACATTGTGAACCATACATGACTATTGGTCGTATGATTGTCAAATACAGTTGAGTTTTAACCTCTTTTGACATGACTTTCGAGCTTAGTAGTTTGCCTAGTACATAGAAGCATTTATTTCCCATTTTTATTTTTTGTTGAATTTCAATTTGACATTCATTCTTCTGCGTTACAATCATGCCCAGGTATTTAAAATCTTCTACTCTTTTGAACTCGTACTGGCCAACTGTTATGTTTTCGGTTTCCTGAAGGTTATCTAGTTCCCTACTAACTTTCATGTACTGCGTTTTCTCTATGTTGAGATGTAGCCCTATCTTCTTTGCCGATTCTATTAACCTGCCGCATAAACCTACCACTTTTTGTTCGTCTTCTTCTAGCAAGACTATATCGTCTGCATAGGCGAGCAGACTGAAGCAAGTTCTATCCATTCTTACTCCTTCATCTCTTCCAATATTTATTTCTCGGACCACCTTCTCTAATACTAAATTAAAGAGTACTGGCGACAAGGTATCCCCCTGTCTAAGTCCGGTTCTTACCTCCACCATCCTCGATGTCGCGTTTCCTACTTTGACTTTGACTTTAGTTTGTCTTATACTAGCTTCCACTAATTGTACTATTTTCCTTGGGAAATGAAAATGTTTCAGAATTTCGGTTATGCTAGTTCTATCTATACTGTCATACGCCTTTTGAAAATCAACGAAGATAACATGGAGTTCCTTATTATATTCCCAGCTTTTCTGGAATAACTGCCTGATCTGTCGTTGACCTATTTTGCCTGAATCGACATTGATAGTCTCCCATCACTTATTCGGCCAAAGGTTTGATTCTATCCAGGATGCAATATGGTGATACCTTATATGTTGTATCTAGCAAAGCTATTCCTCTATAGTTACTACAGACTTGCTTGTCGCCTTTTTTGTGTATTGGGCATATGTATGCTACTCCCCAGTCTTTCGGTAAAATTTCCGTCTCCCACACTTCTTTTATCAACAAGTATATACTTTCTATCATGGAGCTGTCCGCATGCTTTAAAATTTCCCCTTGAAGGTCATCTTCCCCGGGTGACTTGTGATTTTTGAGCCTTTTGATCTGTTGTTCGATTTCTTCCTTTGATGGGGTGGGCAGGGATCATCATTGGGTTCGTTGTGTCCATATATAAATTTATCAACTGGTGATTCACAATTGAGTAGCTTTTCGAAGTACTCTGCCCATTTCTCCATTATTTTTTCCTGATTCGTCACTAGGCTTCCATCGTCCTTTTTCAGAAATTTTTCTTGTCTTCTATATCCGCCTTTAAAACTATTTACCTTGTGATATAACTGCCGTGTATTGTGTGACCTATAATCCTGTTCTGCCTCCCTCATTAAATTTTGAACATACTTTCTCTTTTCACACCTCAAAATGTTAAGTACTTCTTTCCTTTTAACTCTAAAGATTCTTTCTTCCTCCTGATTGTTAGTATCATTTAGCCATCTTTCTCTTGCTATTTTCCTTCTTTCCAGGGCTTCTTGGCAGATAGCATTAAACCAGGGTTTCTTCGTTCTATGGGCTTTCCCTAAAACTTTCTCCGACACATTTCCAAGGGTGTGTTTAATTATTTTCCATTGCTCATCTACTGTTTCGGGGTTTGAGTTTAATTCTTGCGCCATTTTCTGTATGTTCTCTTGAAATTCTCTAGCTTTCCTACTATCCCTGAGTTTCTCTACATCATACCTGACAATTTCCGATTTCATATTCCTACTCATTGTTTTTAGCTTAACCCTAAGGTTTCTAGCCACTAGGAAATGGTCTGAGTCGCAGTCAGCTCCTTTGTATGTTCTTACGTCCGTTATGTTATTGGCAAATCTCTCAATTATTAATATATGATCTATTTGGTTTACGTGCCTACCATCAGGTGACACCCACGTCCCTTTATGTATGTTCTTATGCGGGAACATTGTACTCTTGACTTTAAGACCTTTCCCTATGGCCATATCCACAAGTTTTGTGCCATTGTCATGTCGTGTAAACTGTGGGTACCAATAGTTGGTCTATATGATCTATATGATCTCTCTTTCCCTATTTTGGCGTTCATGTCTCCTAGTATAATTTTTATTTTGCTATTACTAATCCCTTCTAGTAGTTGTTCTATCTCAGTATAAAAATCTTCTTTTTCTTGTTGTGATTTGTCCTCCATGGGTGCATGTACGTTAATGAATACGATATCGAACCATTTAGTCTCTATTTTTAGTAACGCCAGTCTTGGGTTAATTATTCTAAAATCTTTTATCGTTGGTACTATGTTCTTACGTACCGCAAAACAAACTCCATATTGTCCTCTTTCATCACACCCCCCGAAAAGGATTGTCATATTGCCCATGTCTATACTTCCTGCTTCCTTCCATCTTATTTCCTGCAGAGCTACTATTCCTAGACCATATTTCTCTACTTCTTTAATCATACTTTGTGCAGCACCGGGTTTGTAAAGAGTTCGTACGTTCCAAGTTCCAAAAGTAAGTTCCGTGTTTCCGTTTCCATGTCTTTTTCCATTAAATCTAGTCCGAGGCTTGTTCTTAGGATCCTGAACAAAGCATTTTTACAAGGCAGGGTTGTTAGCCCTGCGCTCAACCCCCAACCTGGAGGACCAGACTGCCCCAACCACTTAAGGTCAGGGTACGGCTACTGCAGTGTACTGAGGGTACACTGGGCGATGGGAGCGCCACTATCTCTACGCCATTTTATAAATATCTAGCTTAATATTTTATTGTATATAAACCTTTCTTCAAATATATATGTTTTTTCATACATTTTATAATTATCTATGTGCTAGTATGTAAATAGTATATAATATTACGTATTAGTTTTACGTGTGTACAAAAAAAAAATAAGTATTTTAAAATGTATTATTTAAATATATTATTATAAATTATTTCATATAATTGATACCTGTTTATTTTATATGTAACTAATTAACACAATAATTAAAAATTAGCATATAAATAAATAGGTACTAAAACGCGTGTAAAAAAAAAAAAAAAATCCTTAACATTATTTAAATTTAAATAAATTAATTGAAATTAATTGCATCTTCAAATAGGAAATTTCAGATATTAAATTAGGCACTAAAATATGCACTATAATATAATATATCTGTGTCTTTATGTCTATGCTAAATACTCATGGATTGGTTGGTCATAAAATGTGAACCGTAGTATAGTTTAAATTGAATGTAATTATTATCGAAAAATATAATAATTATCATTTAAACGCAACAGTATAACTTCTTAAACAAATAAATAGTTTTATATTATAATTTTTAGAAATTTTATGTTGGCAACACATTTTATGCCGTTGTCTTTCGATTCCAGTCCTTATCATTTTTCGGACAACTGCCCCCAACTCGACAGTAGCAATGAAAGGGTTAAATGGCGGGACTTTTCAACGCTTATCAATTTTAACGGTGTTTGTAGACTAGAATTGACCTTCTAATATCTTTTATCCATAGCTCTTAAGTTTTCATATACCACACATTCATATTATAATTTGTATGTAGTATTTTATTGGTTCTATATATTTTTCATCTTTTTCTACATTTAGTAAGTATTTACGTATAACAATTTGTATCCAGTGCAAAACCAATTAAATATAATTTATATTGCAATAACAATATAAATTAATATTTATATTGTTACTTAATAATGTTTGGTAATTAGATGTAACATAATGGAGGCGAGAATTAATCATCATATTCGAGGTATATTTATGCTGAATCAAAAAGCTATTCCTCCAACATTAAATAAACATCTTACAAATGTGAGTAATTATGTTTAATATTCTTCATCTAATTAACAAAAATATTTAGCAGTTTTTTTTCTTATTTTCAAATATTTGAAACATCTTTGTTAATAAACTATGTGTCATTTTAGAAAATTTTTAACAAACCAAATAAAGAAGGAATGGAACAAGTATTATATCATTTACTTCCACTAACAGATCCAAATTGCTTAAAAACTCTACCCTGGCCAATATCATCTTTTAAAGATGCTGCTGAATTTCGTAACGCTGCCACACTCATAATTAATGTAAGTTGTTATTTCCTGAAATAATATATTTATTAATATTAACATATATAAATTGTGAAAAATTTAAACCACAAAAAAATAACTTATTTGATTTATCAGTTCAAGTATTAATATCAAATCATAGGGTGATTTTGTTTGTGTAGAAATTATTATATAATATCTCTTATGATCATTGTAAATTAAATAAAGTCCTGAAATAAAAAATACATGACATTTTCTTTTTATAATTTGACTAAGTGCCAAGTACTTTAGTCCTCTCTTATATTTTTTTTCTAAATTCAATTAAAGGTGATCTATACTCAAAATATTGCTACTATATCATTATATCTTAATCTTACCCAGTGGGAGATCTATTATTTTCTTTTGAGGGGAGGGGCAAAATGATTAAAACAATATATATTTATATATTATAGAAAACTTATATTATTATAATAGTTTGCATTATTATTAGTGTTCCTTATTTAAAGTGTTATATTCACGTGAAATTAAGATTCAATTTAGACCAGTATAGGGATCCAATACGTCTCATATTTGAATGAAATGTCCTGGTGTCCTGACACAAGTTTAAAAATAATAATTTTGTCCCGTATTTTAGATAATCCGTCTCATATGTACCTTATTTTAAAAATTAAATTTTTTCATGTCATTTAGTTTTTTAAATTTTAAATTATTGATAAACTATAATATTTAAATCAAATTATAGTTAAAAATATTTGATTATAAAAAAAAATCTGAAAAACAAATTAGAATAATCTTTTATGTTTTTTTTTATTATTAATCACCTTAATATATTTTGTAATAAATAAATTTACCATAGGAAAGTCATCTAAATATTTGTTTTTAATTGTAATTATAATTTATATAATTTATATTTGTTTCAAGTAATAAATATTTTGTTTAACTTTATTTTATAGTATATTTAGTAACTGAATAATATTAAATGTTACATTGAGGCCAAAAGTAATCTAAGCTACCAAATGTTTACAAAGAATTTGTTTAACCATCATTACATTTTTCATTTTTTAATATGTTAATTGCTAACAATTCTCCCCTCCACAATTTAACACCAATGTAAATTACAAGTATAGGTATGATTTAAAATGCCTTGTTTTTTTTTAAAAATAAATCTGGGATTCCTAGACCAGTTGCTTAAAATTTTCTGTGAACTTATAATATTATTCACATGTATTTGTGATTTAACTTACTTAGATTTTTATTTTTTCATTCGTAAAAAAAAAAATTGGTTTTACTTGTATCACAGATATAGATTAGATTATTTTAATAATCAGTAACATAAAGTATAACTAGATTATATAATAATAACGATTAATGTTTTATTTTAGAAAACCTAATAAATATATAGAGCAACATAAGATAATATTTTTGACAATATATAAATAAATAATTAATGTGATAGGTAACAATTTATAATAAATATACAAAATTAGTAATAAACAAAATAATTTATTTGCTACATAACTTTAATTACATTAAATATTATTAAACTAATAATTTACTCTTTTGGAACAAAAAAGTCAGCATATTAACATTTTTAATCAAAAAACAACTTAATTTTAAGTTAATCGTATTTCTTTATAATCATATAAATAGTAATTAATATACATTTTCCCACCAATTACAATTGTTCATGTAATTAACAAATGCCTATATTCACATAATTACAACTCTGATATGTGTTCATGTATTTTAGCATTTATTTATTCACGCATGTTTGTATTCACTTAAAAAAGTAAGACCCCTTATTATTATTATTAGTACATATTAGTATTAGAATAAGAGTACCTAGTAGATATATGGTACATTAGAGTAATTTAAGTGCCTATATATAAAATCAAAATATTTCTATATGAAAAAAACATGTATTTTAGTAAATTTGAATTATTAACACTATTGTATGTACCTAAATGCTGTTTAACAAAAAAATCTTTTATAGTTTCTGATTTTATATAAATGTCAATGCATGTGTATGTAAAATTGCTGTCATAATATATTTTTTTTTAGGTTTTTTAAAATCATATAAATCATGTTTTTGTTGATTAAATGAGTTTTTTAAAAAACTTCAATATAATCCTGAAATATACTACCTTAATAATAATAATTATGATTTCTTTAAGATAGATATTAAATATAAATGGAAAAAAAAAATGTATGTTTCGTTAGATGATTAAATAATAATAGCTTTCTATCTTATATGTATATATTTTTATTTTAATTTTAACAATTTTTATCATTTATCATTTTTAACTTTTTACTTAAATCATTGAATATTACATATATTTGTATTAGTAACAGTTTTGATTATTAGTAGTATTTAATTTAGGAACCCTGAGACAACTCTCTTATCTTCCTTTAGAATTTATATTTAAATTCTTGACTATATATATGTATCATAATATAATTGAATTTAGAACTATAAATTTAGGTCCAAAATTACTCATAAAATTTAGTTTACAACTAAAATTGATTTAGATTATTAACCTGTGTTTGGATAATGGGTAAAAACAGGTTCCTCTTAAATCCGTCACTGATCCACCCTACCCATTAAAATCAAATAAATGTTGATTATTTTTTTATTCTAAATAAAGAGATTTTTTTTCCCAATAATTTGTCAGAATTATTTGTATGGAATAAATATAGAAAATTTGGATTTATTTTTAATGATAATTAGTAAAATTTCTATGAGTTTTTGTTTTTATAGATAAAAAATACAGATTATCATTATATTTATATATGATTAGTTAAATTTAAATAGAAATCATAATTTTTTTATTGTATTATTTATTATATAATTATATATTATTGTTGTATAGGGACTAAAAGAATTTGTATATGAAAAGTCTTCAAATGTTGTCGCAAAAGTAAATTCTTCATTATTAGCAAATCCTGGTGGACCAGTATTTATATTTTTTATGTATCAGTTTTGCTTGTTTATCAAGTATTGCGAGCTAAAGAAAAAAAGGTAAATACATTGTATCTATCTAAAATTTTAGTAAATCTATTTCAATGAAGGAAAAAATTTTATATTCTTAAGTAAAATTACTATCACAAAATGTATGCTATATATATTATATATATTCTGTGACACTACATATTCATACCTAATTAGTTTGATTGTTTGATATTTTGAATAGGTATTCTCTAATAATCAAATATTAGTTTTTATTTTATAATCATTATTTTTTAGGCATTGATGTTTTAAATGCACCAACATATGTTGATGATGAATATATTGATAAAAAAATATCAATGTTTGATGGAATATCAAAAAGTAATTTTAATGAAGCAAATGAAATAGTGTCTAGAATTGATTACAATCTAAAAAATATGGCCGAATTATCTTTGTAAGTAATAATAATTTATAAATAATTATTTATTTTATATTGTATGAACAATTTTAGGAAATATAAAGAAATTATTCTAGATAGTAAACAACGTATTAAAGATTTGAAATTAGAATTACTAAATATTGAGCACTCTGAAGCAACAGGTACATAAATGATTTTATAAATATTATCTTATAAGTATCATATATTTAAATCCTATGTTCATATTTTCTTATGGTAAAATAATTGAAAAAATATTAGTTATTACTGATTAATTAATTGATTATAATTTGTTTATCTAAAGAAAACGAAGTTGCTGAACTAAAAAAAAAATATATCTATTTATATGATAAATTTAATCAAAATAATTTAATTGCTATGAAGTGTGCAAAATTAGCTGATATAATTTCCAAAACTCCAAAAAATTGCAATGCCAATTTGATAAATATAACTTATAATGTAAGTCTTAAGAATTTATGTTGTGTTTATAAATGATATATATTTTGACATTATTAGGATAAAGACGAAATAATAGGAAATTATGGAAATATAGACCTCGTTAAGTTGCTTACTATCATTAAAAGTTCTTTAAAGGATCATATAAGTTGGTGTGAACAGATAAATGATGAACAAACTATTGATGACAATATACTTGAAGTACAAAAATCTGTTGTAGAAATGTCAGAAATGATGCAATGTTATAAAATACTTTTACAACAACAAAATAATGTGATTGAGAATTTAGAAATTGAAAATCATAAATTAGATGTAGAAATATTCACTAGTAAGTTTATATTTGTACCAATATATTTATATTTGTTATATATTTTATCATGAGTCACTTTTTTTTTTATATTATAAAAATTACAATCAATATTATTTTATTGTATAGAACAACGGTTCTTAACTTGATCTGCAATATCTTGGGGGGGTATGAATTTGTGATTAATTCCTTGGGGTCCATAAGTTATCAATGGATATATACATGATTTACATGCAATTTATAAGTGTAAAATATTGAAAGAAAATGTAATGTAGTAATGAAGTCCATAATTTGGAAACATTTTTTGACAGGGATCAACAAGGCTTATATTTCAAAAGTCTAAGAACCTTTGATGTAGCAAATTACTTTAATTTGATCAAATGTTTTGTTATAATAACGATACATTTTTTTGATTTTCATGAGTATTTGTTAGATTATTTATCAAAGTCATTTTATTATTATTTAGAAAAAAAGTTTTGATAATATTGATCCAAGAGTACGATCTGTTTATGAAAAAATTCCTCCAATTGTCCTAAAAACAGATTTAGTTGAAAGTCCAAAGTCAATTAAATTAGAATATTACAAAAAATCAAGTCAATCAACTATATTACATTGTAGTAATAAACCATATACTTACCAGGAATTATCTTTAGATGACATTAAAGATATATATACTGCTACACTGTCAAATCAAAATGAAGTTGAGGTAAACAATTTAGTTAATTTTCTCTTTTAAAAAAATGTTATCTTTTACAAATTACTTGAAAATGATTTTGTAAATTATTATATTTTCTGCTAATATTTATAATAAATTTAATATGTTTCAAATTCTACAGATAATTGTTGAAGAAAATGAACATTCATCCTCATTCAATGAATCAAATTGGACTAAGAATGTTACATTACACCATAGTAATGACCATGATAAATCTTTGGTAAATATTATAAATGTTGAATTATAAATTATTTAAAAAATATATTTTAGAATATTATCTTATCTCATAGTAAGTAGATGCAGTGCCACCTTAAGGTTACATGAGGTCCTAGGGCTCAAAATATTTCTGGACTCTTTAAATACTTAAATTGTAATATTATTATTTATTTAACACAATTTATTAATAGTTATTAAATTTTATATTTTATTCGCAAGTTAATTTTATATGAATTTCTGTTACTTTATTGTATATAATATAATTTCAAAATATTCTTTCCTATTATTTAGTTGTATACCTACTTATAACATTTGTATAAATTAATATTTTTTGTAGTTAAAAAAAATTAAAAAGTAAATTTAATTTATAAAACTAAAATAGTTGTCATAAAAATAATAAATATTGATAAGGGTCATTTTTAAACAAAGAATGTAATAGTATATAATGTATTATACCATATATGTGTACTTGATTCAAGAATAATTGCTTTGATCATCACTATCATATTAAATATCTGTTAGGAAATCTTACCTTAATGATACTATGAGGAATCATTTTATGAATTTCTCAACCGTTTTCTGAATAGTTACAGAATCTAACGAATTATTGTAAAAAAAAAAATGCCAAAATTTGGTGCTTATAGATTTTAAACAGTTGTAAAAATAAAAATTGTAGACTTTAAATTTTCACTGAATGTTTATTTAAATCACCATTTATTATAGATGATATAATTTTTAAAAAATTTTTTTTTTTTGAGCTATTTTTAGGAAATTATAATTTTCCTGCTGGTTTAACCATTTTTGGATTATAATACTTCCTAAGCTCTCTTTAATTAAATTAAATTTAGAAAATTCACATTCTGTATTACAGTTGGTATTAACTAGTTATCATTCTGAAATATTCTGAAAAATATTCTTTGAAAATGTTTCTTCTAAATTTACCTAATTTTAAGCATTCTATATTCCAGTAATACTAAACTGCAAATTTCAAATTGTATTGGATATGATTTTAAGTGTATACATGATAAAATTCTGTTTTACAATGGTATTTCTTTAATTTTAAGAATTCTTAAATTAAAGAAAAATCCAAGCATAATATATTGACTTATGATTTGTTAATTCATTTTTCTGGTTCAATTAAATTAATTTTTGTATTCAGAATTTGGATATTAATTTTCTTTTGAGGGTTTCATAATTATATAATTTATCTCTAATCTCACTTATTACCTACAAGAAAATCAAATATCTTTGAACCGATGTCAATAATGAGACTTTTATAAAATAATAAAAAAATTAAATTAAAATCAAAATTTATTAAATAGTTATAACTTGTAAATTAATATACAATCAATATAAAAAAAGTAAATTAATATGTATAAATAAATAAACAAATAGTTTATGTATAAAAGTTAATAAACAAATAAATGTATAAATGTTTAGATTGGAGTATTATATTTATAAAATATAACCGGTTTCAAATTAAATATTCATCATCAGGTATATACAAAGTCAATAATCAAAGACACGATTTAATTTTTATACCTGATTTTGAATTTTTAATTCGAAACCAGTCGTACTTTATAAATTTAATAATAATCCAGATTAGAACATTTATTTATTTTTTATATAAACTATTTGTTTTTATTTATTTTTTTATATATTAATGAGATTTTATTTTTGTAAACTTTTGTTACTTCAATAATTTCATTGATAACTAATATTTCTGATATAACTAGTAAAAATAATTTCATATTTTTAACAGAAACCTTTTTACCCATCTACCAAATAAAATTTAACATGTAGTTGATTACTAAGGTAAAACATGCATTCTAAATATCTTACTTATTGGTATATATCTATGGGTTTATATTATCACAAAAATAAGGAATACAATTATTAAATTCTGAACAAAATGCCATAACATTTTCCAATTTAGTATTCTGTTTACAATAATCATCTTACTATGGTATACTTTTGAACTTCAAATTATTTTCAAAAAAAATCCTAGCTTTTGATATGTATATGTATTTATTGATATATGTCATATTTTTATGCATGTTTACTATTCATAAAATTAATTAACATGTTTTTAATGTTCAGGTTGATAAGACAACAAATGCTACTCTTAAAAATCAACCAGATAAAATAGATGGAAAAATTGGTTCTGTAAATCAAATTAAAGAAGATGAAATCAAACGTGTATGTATATCTAGAAAATCAATTGAGAACATAAAGCAAAAATTTATTAAAATAAAAAAACAAGCTCAAGAAATGAGCACAATTCCACATTCACCATTTTAATTAAATTTCAAATTTTAATTAGTGAATTATACTTTGTTCTACCTATTTCTCACAGTTAAAAACTAATCAATTATATTTTATGTATAAATTTTATTTTAAATTTATACTAAACATTTTTTAAATACTTATAATAAACGAATAATTACATTAATTTTAAAATATAGTATTGTAATAGATAACACAGAAATTTATAAATTATATACATTAATTATAATTCTTGTACACATATGTTAATAAATTTTATTTTTCATATTAGTTTTGAGCCATACTTAATCTTTTTTTAGGACTTAAGTACTTCTTATCTTCTTATGGGAAATTTAAATATGATATTTATATAAGCTAACAAGGCCTTTCTTTGGAATATGAGTTACTTATAATGAAAGGGGAAAGCAAAAATTAACATTATTCATGGTGGACAAACATGAGGTTAATTTTAACCTATTTATAGAATAATATTGTAAGTTACATAATATAAATATATAATCGTTAAAATGTTGCAATTTATTTAGAATTTACAATGTTTGAATAAGCAAACTATTTGATGGATGAGCGAAAAAAATTTTTTGTGGCTGAATAATTATTAATAACATTCTTATTATTCAATTATTATAAATATTGTTAATTATTATTGATATTTTATAGATATATAATTTTAAATAAAACATTTAAATTGTGGAATATGGAAGACAAAAATATAATACATGGTTTTCAACAGAATATTATATTTTATTTACTAAACAAACCTTGCTTTGGTAATACATTTCACATTTAAGATATTAACATTATTAAAAATGAATACTTTACATATCACAAAATAAAAAATTTTACCGAAAACCCCATTTAACCCCACTATTTAGTAACAAGGCAAATTTAAATCCTTCAGTACTTGGAAAATATTTATCTTTAAAACTATCAGCTCATAAGTTATTAATTATTAACACAATAGGAATAATTTAAAAATAATTACATTAAAAATATCACATATTACCTAGTTAAAATAATTGTTAACAAAAACAATTTTTACATTTCTCATGGCGAGTTATAAAATGTATTTTCATAAATTAATAAATATCAAGTCTTGAAAACAGACAAATAACTAGATAAAATTTAACCACACTATATTAAAATTGTAAATATATAATAATAATAAAAAAAAAAAACACTGAATTATAAAAATTAAAATAAAAACTAGAGAAACTTTATAAAGAAATGCTATTCCAGTATAAATTCGTTAAACCCCTGGAATATTTTTTTTACTTAAGTAATAAATATTAAATTAAAAACAATACATTTAAAATATACATTTGGTTGTAAATAAGAAACTAGATAACAAAATATTTTATAACAATTAATAAAAAACGGAAAATTAAAAATAAAGTCTGCCTTGGTTATAATACTGTTATACTAATTTAAATTTAATGCTGTTATTGCCATTTGTAATTATTGTTCATTTGAGATGTACTTGGAGCTGAATAACTATTTTGATATCTATTACTCGTACCTCTATCTGAAATAAAAAAAAATGCTATTTAAATTTATTTATTTATTTTAAATTATTTTTATTTTGAATAAATCCATAAATACATGTATTGGATTTACAATCATGTTTTTATTTTCTAGGAATATATTTTAACATAGTTATTTTGTCAAATTTTATGAAGAAAATATATAAGATCGAAATTTAGACAGAAATTATAATTTCTCAATATAAAATTAACCAATTTTTTTTTTTTTTATTTGATAAATAGTTCACCTCAAATACAAAGATAATGTAACATTTTGTTCTATGTTTGATATTTTAATTAAAAAAAAAAAAAAATTAGTTTTAAAGAATTTAAATAACGTATCAAAGGCAATACAATGTATAAAGTTTGCTCAGTGGTAAATATTAAGACACTTCATAACATTAACTAGACACTTTACTTTGTGATAAAAAACTAATATTTTCTAAAATATTGAAGTTACTTAGCTTTTTGATTTATAAAAATAAAACTAAAAACACATTTTTATAAGCATATAAAAAAAAAAAATTATCAAGTAGCTAAGATTCAAAAAATAATTTTGTAAATGGTGTTTTGTTAATATTATATAATTATACAAGTTGTTCTTACTAGGCATATTATAACTGTTTCTATTCATCCTAAAAGTCGAACTGTTATCTGTGTAATCTGTTAATGTAATAAATAGTTTAGAAAATAATTATTTACAGAAAATAAATAATTATTGAGCACTTACTCTTATTTTGAGAATGTTGGCCATACGAATATTTACGAAAAGAAAACGAAGAATTATCACTATTTTTATTATGGCGACCTTGGAAACAAATAAAATATAATTAATAATAATAATATAATATTATTAATACATAATAATTATAATAAATAAATATAAATATATATAATAATAATAATTAATAAATACTATGGCAAATAATTAACCTTTATTACTATTTTCTTTTGGACGTTTACCAACATCATCTGGAGCTTCCAAGCCCACTGCATGGTCTTCTGCTGCCAATATTTTAACTACTGACTGAACAACACTACTATAGGACTGTAAAAATTTAAATATCAAAATAATATAAATTATAATTCACATCAAATAATAAAATATTTAAAATTAATTACACTATGGTGTGATATCATTTTGTTTTTAAGAAATTCTCGATAAGCTAAAGTAAGACATAATCGCATGTTTAATATTTTTGAAATATCATCAGAACTTCCAACAAAACTAGTCCAACCATCCAAGTTTAGTATTCCTAAATTTTCTTCAACTAATGTATCATTTTCTTCATTACTATCACAATCACTATCATCTATAATAAATTACCATTAGCTTTAAGATACTATAGGTTAGACCATTTATTTATTATTAAATAATTACCATTAACTTTACTAACTGAATCTTGAGGTAATCTCATGGCATTTGAAAAAAGAGCAACTGACATAGGAGATACAACTGTGCAATTTTTTATAAACTTTTTAGTATTAAAAGAACTCATTTCTTCAAATATTATCCATTCAGATGGTAAGTCTTTGACATAATTTTCACGTAAGACACTTGATCCATGATAAATTACACTTTTTTCTGTCCTAATAAAATTAAAGTATTGAATTATGAGTCACTAACAAAATGCTATATCTAAATGACTATTTATATACTTTGTTTTCAAAATAGGTCTTGTATTAGATTTATCTAGTTTGGCCAAATTTGGGTACAATCCAGCTAACAAACAAGCTTTTACAGTAGCCCAATTATTTGAATTTATATTTACTTCTCTTATATCATTAGGACCAGCACGGATTTGAATTAATTCTAGAGCTCTTAACTGACCTAATAATTGAGTTCTTGTTTGTGTAATTAATCCCATAATTGATTGGGAAACTAGATTAAATAAATCGCTATCAACCATATTTCCTTCATTGAAAGCCTAAAATAATAGATAAAGAAATATATTAAATAACTTAAATGACTAGAAACATCAATAAATACAGTGTGTTTTATTTTGTGCATAAGCGTGTCCAGACCTCCATGGCTGGGGAGGCCAGTTATAAAATTTAAATTTTTTACTTACTACAGCGATCTATAATCTATATCTATATTTGTGACTTATTTTTATTGTATGAAAATTATATAGCACCTGGAATTTTTTTACCCCGTCAAATTAAAGATTTTCTTGATCTTAAAATTGGTTTCCTATACTATTACAACTATGAACTAATAATAAATAAGGCCTATTAACTAATTTGCTACTTATTTATTTTTTATAAATATTTTATCAACCTTCTATACACATCTTATTACAGTTATTACACAATAAACAGTTATTTATCAGTTTGTTTAAACAAGTAATTTATTAAAATATTTCAAATAATAAAATTTAAATTCACCTTCTACCTAAAAAATTACCTACTGTTACTGTTTCAGCCACGGATATAGATCCTATTTATTCGTGGTTTCACCATTATAAGCCAAGAGGCCAAGAACGTCGCTGGGGAAGCCGGTGTCCAACCTGCCACCCCGTAGGCACGTACGAGGTATGATCAAAAAATGCCCGGACTTCGTTAATAATATTTATATCAGTTAAGATAACAAAATTCCGATAATGGCATTCGATAAAGTAACTTCTAACGAGGATTTGAGCGTTGGTTTGAAATCGATAACAATATTTATATTTATTTTATGTTATTTTACAAAAACATATTTCAGTCGTGTGGCGAATTCCGTAAAGGAAGGAATAGAAGAACAACGTGTGCGCGTAAAATTTTGTTTGAAATTAGGAAAAAGTTTGAGTGAAACTTTTGAACTTTTGTAGCAAGCTTTTGGAGATGATGTTCTGTCTCGGACAACATGTTTTGAGTGGTTTAATGGTCTTTCGGTTTTGTTTTTGTTCATCGGTTAAGAGGCGAGGAAAAAATTTGGTTGCGATTCGGCTCATTCCCAATTCTTTTGTTAATATTTCTTGACACGAATCATAAGATATACCGACGTCTTCTATAACTTCTCTAATAGTTAATCGACGATTATTTCGAATGATTTCTCGAACACGAGCAACAGTTTCATTTGTTTTACTGGTCGATGGTCTACCGGGTCGTTCGTTATCCTTGACGGATGTTCTATCTCCTTTAATCCGTTTAAACCACTCAAGAACACTCAGAACATCATCTCCAAAAGCTTGCTGCAAAAGTTCAAAAGTTTCACTCGAACTTTTTCCTAATTTAAAACAAAATTTTACGCGCACACGTTGTTCTTCTATTCCTCCCTTTACGGAATTCGCCACACAACTGAAGCATGTTTTTGTAAAAATAACATAAAATAAATATAAATATTGTTATCGAACCAACGCTCAAATCCTCGTTAGAAGTTACTTTATCGAATGACATTATCGGAATTTCGTCATTTTAACTGATATAAATATTATTAACGCAGTCCGCGTATTTTTTGATCACACCTCGTATATGATTTAGTGTGAGATATTTATGTTTATACAATGATCATTGCCTTAAATAAATCATTTAATATAATAAAAAGCATAATGAAACTAGTATCGAGAGTGAAAGTGGTTTGCTATAAAATATTTTATTAATGGTTATTTGCAAATTAAAATATTTTGTTAGATTCAATTGATGGATGAAATAAATAAATATATGTACAGATTTACTACTTCTCTGAAGTTAAATTACATCAAAAGAATAAAAAAAGAATAAAAATATAACATTTCAAACATTAATTAAATGTTAAATGTTAAGATTTGTTAAAATAATTATACCAAATAAATACAAATGGAAATGTAGCATTATTAATTATAAACATGAACAATTAAATAAACCATAAGCAAAGAATTAAAATACAATTAAAATATATTTTATTAATAAATATCTTACCTGATACAAGCGCAAAAGGACTATATGATCACTCAATGAATCTCCAGCTAATTTCTTACGAATAGATCCTAATGAAGTCTTCATATTTACATTGAGAGTCAGATTGAAAGGTTCTCTATAAATTAATAAGTGAAAAATTGAATAAAATTTATAAAACCTTATTAATAATAAAAAAAAATATATTACCTATTAGCTAAACAGCTAATTATAGTTAATACAGGATCTAAACATTTCAAAAAGATAGCAAATACTAATGTCTTAGCATAATGAGGCTCAATAGATAAATCTAACATGAAAAATCCAAGATCTGTCAAATCTTCATTAACATCCATTGCTTCAATTGTTTTTAAGTATTCAAGTGCAGAAGTAACTGACAATGTTGGTGGTGGTTGAATAGCTAATGCCAAAAAGTCTAATACTCTCATATTATTTGAAATTACTTTTGCTAACATACAAAGTTCCTATAACAAGATTTTAGATTACAAAAAAAAAAAAAAAAACCATTAATAACCATAAATTACTAGTAAAGTAAATAATTTAGATATTATACATATTAAAACTGGTAATAGTAAGTAATTCAAAAATATTTTCATTTTAATATTTATACTATATAACAAGAATATAATATTTATTTATTTAACAAAACAATAATAAAACATATATTTTACATATATAGGGCGGTTCAAAAAGAACGCAGGATTTAAATCTGCTATAAATTAATTTCTTTGAAAAAATATAGCAAATATATCATTCTTTTCAGGAAAAGTTAAAGTTTAACAGTAATAAACAATATTGGGCATATGACTCTCCCTAATAGCCCTACAGACGATTATTCTTTTAATAAAATTTGCCATCACTTGATCGCACATTTCCCCATCAAGTTCGTTGACACAACAAATTTCCTTCTTAAGTTCCAAGTCATTTCAAACCTTGTTTTGGTAAACTCATGACTTAGTGTATCCCCATAAGAAAAAATCACACAGCGTCAAGTTGCAAGATTGAAATGGGTTGCTTTGATCTCCACGCTATGAAAGGAACTTCTTGCGCATCAGAGTGATTGTTTCTCTTGAAGCGTGACAAGTCAAAACCAAACGTTTTTATGTTCATTTTATCCAAATAAGGCCAAAAAAACTGAGCTCAGTAGGTATTCTTGTATGGTTACAACAAGATGGCGCAATTTGTTACACTTCAAGGGAAATACTCCTTCTGCTGCGTGAGAAGTTTCGGGACAGACTAATTTCATAATTTTAATGACATCTGTAGATTACTGACAGTATATTACTTTCTTTTGAGCTATATCCCATTAACAGTAATATGATATTTTTACTTACTATAAACTGACTATTACTTTTTAATTTAATATGAAAATTGTTAATCTAGCACATAATTATAGAAGATAATCAATCAACTACCCTAACTAATTTAGTTTGTATATATGATATGTCAGATAACTGGAACCTTAAAGCTAAGAATGAATGAATAAGCATACATATTATGAACATAAATTCTGCGTAATATTTATAAATATTTAACTAAAATTATCAATACATTAAATGTTGAATATTATAAAATAAATAATTTTTTTTTGGGATAAAAATTTCTATGTTATTAGTTTTTATGTATTTTTTTATTGTTTTTATAGTGTATAAACAGATTACTTTGAACTTATGGTAAAATTATTAAACTCCCATGGTTTATATTTATTTTCTTCCATACTAATGACATTTCAAGGCAGTGTTTGGATACACCAATCAGGGTTTTAATAATACAAGTGCTACAGTAATCAATATTTGATTCTGGATAGTTTTTTAAGAATAACAATTAAGATTGTTGAATTAGTTGGAAATATGGTTGAATATTAAACATTTAAATGTATTAATATATTAATTTTATATGAACATTGTGTTCTTATATTTATTAATTAACAGTAGTAAAATATTAACTACCGATTTATTCTATAAAATATATTGATTGAATATTTTGTATAGTTAATTACTTGTAGAGGCATTCTCAAAATTTCAGGTACATCGTGATTCGCCATGTGATTATGTTGTTCTCTGGTATAAATACGATAACATTCACCAGGGCAAAGTCTCCCAGCACGACCAGCTCTTTGTCTTGCACAACTTTGGGATATCCAATTTACATTCATACAGCTAATACCATTGAAGGCATTATACCCTTTCTAAAAAAAATACGTTTTGAAGTAATTGTTACTTTAAATATGTACTAATAAATTTGTTTTATACACGAATAAAAAATTAAAACATACCTGCTTAACTCTTCCAGAATCAATAACATAAACAACATCGTTTATTGTAACACTAGTTTCAACAATGTTAGTAGCAAGTATAACTTTTTGATGACCTTTAGGTGCTGGTTGAAATACCCTACGTTGGTCCGATGTCTAAGAATATTATTTTAAGACAAAAAAATATATTTTAACATTTATTATTGAAACAACCATATATTATATAAAACTACCTGCATCATTGAATGTAACATATAAATTGTTATTTTTAAATTATCTTTACTAATAAGTTCTTCAACAATAACTTTATTTACCATCGACATGTCTTCAAATCCAGGCAAAAATACCAATATAGAACCTAAAACAGAACATATTTTGAATTTTTGTTTAAAATTATAGATGGTTTTTAATTACCAGATTTTTTTTTTAAAAGTATATGTTTAATAAGATAAGTAATTAAATATGCATCAATTATAATATTAGGAGGTAAGCTTTTCTTATACAATTCTAGTCTTTCTTTGATTTCTATTACATCTGAAATTTCATTATTCTGAGTATCAGTGGGTGTAAGAACACCTTTACTATTAATAATTAAATCTCTTGTATCGAAATGTTTAAATTCTGTAGCCCAAGTAGCTGCATCCAAATTAAATACTCTGGTACGTATATTTGGATTAGCACCCATATTTAATAATGTAGTAACATAGTCATTTAATCCATGAACTGCTACAAGCATTAATAAAGTTACACCAGTATCTGAATGCTAAATAAAAACATTGAAAATCAATTAGTCTATTTTTCAAAAGTCAAAACATATACATTGTTTAGTAAGTATGGTATATGTATTTAAGTTAAATCAATAAAGTTAATACTAAATTCAAAAAAAGAATCTAATGTATTTTGAATTTATGGTGCTAACAATTATTTAAATAATTTATTTGATAAAAATAAATATAATTTAAGTGTGATAAATTAAATTACAAAGAACAATGGAATCAACAATAATTAGAATAAGATTTAGATTTAAAAATTTAGATATTTTAATATTTAATAGAAAAATATATAAATAACTAGATTAAGCAGATGTATGCCTTGGACATTTATAACTTTTATTTTTAAAATATACTTTATAGTTTTTATAGATTTCTAGAGGATGTGATATAAGTATTAATTTGAATTTTGAATAGTTTCATAAATCTTTAGAATAAATAAGAACACACACATATATATATACATTTATACTTAAAAATATAACCAAATCATAAGTAATTCAATAATTACTACGAATAGTAAATGGTAAAAATTTAAAAGGTAGAATAACTAATGTTACTTGAATGATTAAGTTTCAGTATACATAAGATTTTAATAAACAATACTAGAAAAAACTAAGATTTGTCAAATAATGTAGATTAAAGTCAATGTTATCCATAATTAATGAATTAAGCCAATAAAAAGATTAGTAGTGTATAAACAATACAATATCATTTTGATGATATAGAATTACCTTATTTAATAAATTAAAATAAAATTGTTTGGTTAATTAACTTATAGGTACAAAAATAAAATAATAGAGAATTAATGATGATTTATGAATAAAATTACTTGATAATCCACAGGAATTTCTTCAGACATAATATAATAAATCATTCTATCAATTTGCTCTATTTCAGCATTAAACCAAATTTGGTGCATACAATCATCTAATTCTGACTTCAACCATTCTTGGTCAGGTCTTAAAGTAGTAACCTTACAAGAAAAAATGTACCAAGAATTATTAAAAATATTATTTTCTTTTAAATATAAAAGAAAAATGAATCTATTTAGTACCCGTTCTGTAATATTCATATTTTGAACAGCCTCGACCGTTTTTTCTACAAAATTATTATCCCAATAACCAATTTTTGTTTTATTCTTTATTCTTGCCATAGATGGTGACTCGTATTTAATACTATAATAAAAATAGTGCTATTAACTAAAAAAACTAAAATTAAGTTATAATGTACTAACATATCCAAAATATCCTCTAGAAAATAATCTTGAACAGGAAAAATTTTTCCTTCCACTAAAAAAAAAAAAAAAAAAAAAAAGCATTATTTCAATACATAAATAGTTCTATTATTACCTTTTAATACTGGACAGTTATCAAAGTAAGATGAGAATAAATGTATATCTGCTGTAGCTGACATTAAGATAAGTTTCAAATGTTTATATTTTGGTAAAATCATACGCAATGCTATAAGAAGGAAGTCTACATGTTTATCACGTTCATGAACTTCATCTACTATTACATGGGAAACATTCATTAGCATTCCTTTGTTAGGTTCATTGTCTTTTTGATGTCGATCCATAAGAGTTCTGGTTAAAACACCAGTTGTACAGTATATAATTGTTGTATCATGGCTTACACTAAATTAAAAAAGAGTATTTTATGAATTACAACAATAAAGATATAATAAAAACTTTTAAGAATAAATCATAGTATTACCAGCTTTCAAGTCTAACTTGATATCCAGTACTCATTCCAATACTTTCTCCACGTTCATTAGATACTCTGTCAGCCATTGAAATAGCAGCAATTCTTCTTGGTTGACAACAAATGACCCGGCAAGGTTTGTTTTTGGCAGCACTATCATCAATAATAAATTGAGGAATCTAAAAATTTCAATAATATATAATTAATTATTTTATCTATTCTTTAAATTCTCAAAAATTAAATATATTAATAAACAAAAAAACATTTATACTTGAGTAGTTTTCCCAGATCCAGTCTCAGCTGTGATAATTATCACAGGATTATTTTCAATTGCGTGGGTTATTTGTCCTTTGTTTGCCCATATAGGTAAAGACTTCCTCATTACCAATAAATCTTCATCAACAGCAAAACGAGGTACAGACATTGGTTTATCACACATGAGTGGAAGATTCCTTTTACAATTGGCCACTATACAAAAAAAAAATATATATAAAAAGAAAAAAAATGTATACATTAAAGTAAATGAAATAAAGTTTGAATAACATATTTGTCATATTAATTAATAACGTGTAACATAGCAAAACCTTACTCAATAAATAAAAAATGTTATGATTGAATGTTATCATGCTAATGAAACAAAATATATAGCTTTAATTTTATTTATGGATAAACATTTTTTAAATTAAATTAAATTTCTAAATTTTTAGTCCACTATAAGATTTTGTAATGTTACTCATATGAGACAAATAAAACATTTTTATTTAGATGCTCTTGGAATTTACCTGCCATTCGCCGAAATGGCTTCATAGGATTAGGAAGTAATTCATCATACATTTGTTTAGTAATAGGAACATTATCACAAATTTTTGTCATCAACTCATTTGAAGTTAAGGATACTTCTATACTAGATGAATTATTATTTACTTTTTTTTTATCCATATAAATAGTTATTGATCTATTTTCACCAGGTTTTCTATTTAAAAATAAAAAAATTATTATGACACACATTAACATAAATAGTAACAAAATAATTAAAACTTTAGTTCAAATGAATAAATGGTCAAGTAGTATTGAACTTTCAGATCATCATTTTACTTAAAATAATATGCTTAAATAAACTTACTTTAGTTTCATAAATATTATACAGTACTAATAATAAAATTTAAACTTAACAATATAATAACACTTTGAAGCGTTTTACTCATAAGTTTAAGAAAAAAAAAAAAAAGATAAAATTAAATATATTCTTTATTCTTTATTTAATTAAGAACTTATAAAATTAACTAATTTTTTTTACCTGTTATATTTTACAATCGAATATTTACTCACCCATGACTTTTAGTTTTTAATCCAAGTTCTGCACTTTTTAAATGTAAGTATTTGCGCTCTTCTGAAGTTAATGATGATGGAAAAGTATACGCTAAAACAATGCAATAAAAATTTAATTCAATTATATATAATCATTTATTATAAATATATTGGACAAGTATAACAATTTACAGTTTATGTAAATATTTAATTATGACTTTGTTGTAGAAATTATAAAATAATGTAATTAAAATGCACATCAAAAATAGATTCCATTATTTAAGAATTCATTTTTTTATATTATATAATTCAGTAGTATAATAGTATACTGTTTAATTGAATAGTTGGTTTATAAAGGTAAAAATATAATAATTTGGATTAAATTGTTTGTATAAAGATAATTCAATAAAATAAATATCATAAACAGTTAATTCTTACTTATCAATTAAACTTAATATTAAATAATTTAATGAAATAGATAAGGTATAATTAACTAAAAAAAAACTAAATTTGTCATAGTTTATAATAAAATAAAAGATAATAAATATCAATAATTTGTACAAAAAAAAAAAAAAAAAAAAACATTAAATATTAAAATGATAACCATTCATAAATATTAAGATATAAACATAAACATAAAAATCTATTTTGTATTTTAAAACTATTTTTAAAAATAAGGCTGAATACCCTAAAAAAGTAAAATGAATAAAAAATATATTTACCATAACTATATAATTAGGTAAACTGTGATAAATGTTTTTTATTGTATAAGCTATGCAGTATATATAAGATTAACTGAATAGGAAAAAAAGCCTGTTTATTAATAAACTGTATTATTACGATACACCAATATATATATATATAAATCAGTAATAAGTAAGCATTAACATTTTAATTGTATAAACAATCCTCTAAGATGTTGCTAGTATACTTAGGTGGTTAATAACTACTTATTATTACTCAACAATAATAGAATATTTTATATTTATATACATAGTTATTGTAAACTAGGTATTATAATTTTTTTATTGTTATTATCAATTATATCAAAAAGGAAAGACACTGATTATAATATATGAATATATGGGAGGAAATGTTTACTTCGTAATAATTTCAATTTACCCAGTAAGTCAGAAGATATGAACTTGTGTAACTCGTGTGACAAGGATTCTCTGCAGTCTTGTGATAACTTTCCAAAAGGGGACCTGAAAGTATTAAAATGTCATGTGATATTTTGGTATAAACACTTCAAATATGATATTTCATTGATAATTATTATAAATGAAACAATACACATATATTTTAAAATAAAGTCAATAAAACTGGAAAGAACTCAACAGATATTATTGAAAACCTACATGATTTTGAGAATTAACTAAGATGTCGGCTATTATAAATTATGTCAGTGGATATAGATAAATAACTAGTTTAACACATATCTAAAACTAAAATGAATCAATTACATTTTATTAAAAATGAGTAGTATCAATTAGTTAATGTATAACACTATTATGTCTTAATGTATTTTTCATAAAAATAAACTAAAATTATACTTTTTTTTTTTTAAACAAACGTTTTAAAACTAAATCAGAAAACATTGAACCTGGAAACCGCAAAAAGTATTATAAAATTCAGTGTGGGAAAACTCATTGTCTGGTCACATTACATATTTGTGTCACGACAAAATGATAGAGGAACCGTAAGAGATTAAATAACTTTGGCAACACTTATAACATTTGTGGCGCTAAATTTAAACTTTATAAAAAATAAGTGATTACAGATTTATATTTTAAATAGTTATAGTATTATGATAATTATTTTTCACAGTAACTAGAAATTAATTTTGAAGGGGTTTAACCATAGCTATCATTCGTATACGAACGAGGCAACGAAAGTGTATGAAGTAATATTGATTGTCCGAGTACCTAGCTATAATGTTTATAATTATTCCAAATACGCTACAAAAACATAAGAATATTATTATTTGACGTAAACGCACAATGTTTATTGATTATACTAAAATGAAATAGTTATTTTACTACGACATAATATAATACGAAAACAATTCTAGGGGGGTTGAACCCCCAAAATCCTTATAGGTACGGCCTTGTCCACAGTATTGTTAAATTATGAAAACAATTAATCTAATGGAATGTAGAACTGTCAAATTTCAAACATATCTTCATCACTACCCTTTGGCTTTCTATTTTATAACATAATTATTATTCATTAAATTTCTTTAGTACTATTACATAAATTATGTAATAATGTGTTAGTTTTAAGGTACCCAATATTTAATTAATAATTTAAAATAATAGACATTGATATTGATTATATCACTTTATCCCACTGTAAATCGGTATCAGATTATTTGTATATAAAACTATAAAAAGTAGAATCTTAGTAAGTTTGAAAATTTAAGTTTTTAGTTTCATAGAAAAATGGAAACCCCATTGTTTTTTATTTTTTTTATTGGTTAACAAATATTTTTATGATCTTTGTTTGCCAAATCGTATTAAAAATCTCGTGCCCTTAAGTAGGGAGATGACATTTTTTTAAATCGATAAGTACCTATTTGAAGGTTCAAGATGTTTTTAGAGTAAATCTGAAGAAGGTAGGTGAATTGTCTTGCTGTTTTAAGATTTAGGTATCTTATCAAGTTTAAAAGTCATAAAAAATCATTGGTGACTATCAAGAAGGCTCTGGATCAGGATTTACAATGGGCCAAATATTTATTCTCAGTCAACTTTGCCAAAATTCACGGGAATAGTTTTCTTATTTTGGTTGTTAATTTATTTAGGTCATCATCAAAGTGTGCTATTATATAAGTGTGTATATTCATCACTGTCAAACCATTCAGTCTAATTTCATACGCGATGTTTTGCAAATATGTTTTTATTATTTTTAATGTTGAAAAATATTATTCACAGCTAGTAAATGCCATTGGAAGAATTGATAAAATTTGTAGAAATTTGAAAATAGAAGGAAATATTAATACATTACATTTTTGAAGAGTGTCGATAGTATCGAGTTAGACGCCATAGCAATGTTTGATGAATCTTGAATTCCTGTACATTTTTGTTATCACATTTTAATTTTATATATAACTATTAACCATAGACCTTATAGTTAGGTATGAGGTATATGATTAGGTTATAGTATAAGGTCTATGCTATTAACACACTGAACTAACCTATCTAAACTATCTTGATAAATTTTAACTTGCTGTTTCATTTTTTTCTTCGTCAAATATAAAATTAGATGATGTTAAAATAAAGTTATAATTTTTAATTATAAACCTGTAAGATAAAAATCGCTCATTTAATTGTTTAAAAAATGATCTAAAAAACGCATTCATTTATGATATTCGGTAATAATTTTCAGGCAATTAACCTGTAAATTGTAAGTTTTTTGCTTGTAAGCTGTACGAGAAATATTATATTCGTATTCATCACATTTAAATTTTGAATCATCTTATCTTATATATCTTATATGCCTGTATATAAAAGGATAAACTGATGAATCAAGTTGATACTATCAACTCACAGCCTAAACTGCTAAGTCTAAAGACTTGAAATTTTACGCATTGGTTCCTTATACAACATAGGTGAGCACCAGAAAAGATTTTTTGAAATTCAAACCTTAACATTTTTTTATAAATTCGTAGGGGTAAGGTGGTGAAAGAGGATTTCCAAAAAAATTAAATTTTTTTTCGATAAAATTTTTTATTTACTTGATGAGTTCATACCAGGGCCGTATTTTAGGCGAAGGGCCGAAGGGAACAATTGCCCCCACTGAATCAGTATTTAAGGAATAGATTATACGAGTATGTGAGGTACACATTACAATTTTTTTTTTTAATTTGGATCATTTTATAACGAAATCAAATTACGCGTGGCTCTGATTATTGAATTGGGCTTTTTGTCGGGTCCATACTTAATGAAAAATCAAATAAAACACAAGCGTAACTTTCAAAACACAGACAGGTATTAAAAAAAACTACACAAAAGTCAATTCTTAGTGGATCCGACATAAGATTAAAAAAAAAACCACAAATATTAAGGATTCGCTCAATTTAAATATTACCAAAATTTGACTTGTACATTTTGAGCATGAATTAAAAAAATAATTTGAGCCCCCCCCCCCTAGAAGTAAGCCTAAATACGCCTCTGGTTCATACTCATATAGTTAATATATTATTAGGTATAAATTATGTAGTAAATGCAGACAACGCCGTTAATTACTCAATAGAATTCCTGAACACTTTAATTTTACTTGGTTTTCCATATAATCAGTTATTATTGCGTGTGGTGTGGCGTATTTTAGGGGGGGGGAGGGATAGTTGGATTTCGAATCCCTGCCCACAGAAGAAAAAAAATGTACAAAATTCATAAATGATTTGCTAAGAAGGTATAGAGAAAGAGAACATTAATTTATAAAACATGGTTGTAAATAACTCATCATTTGTATTTATAATAATAGAATAATATAATTATTAATTCATACCTTTTATTTATTTTTTATAACATTATAAAATTGCTAATTTTTTTTAGAAAAATATGTATTCTTTGTTTTCAGAAATTTACTTAATGGTAGATTAATACTCAACACGTTTCTTAGTATATAAGATGCTAGTAAAAATTCTGGTTGTCCTATTGCAGTGCTTCTCAACCTGGGAGCCATGAAATATTTATTTCATTTAAAACTCTTGAAACTGAATTCGACGAAAAAGAACTTTTTACGTTTTGGTTAAGACTACAGCAAGTGTATCCTGTAATTTCGAAAACGGCTTAATACTATAAAAAACAAACATAGATTACGTATTTCACAACAGTCTTTAGAAATAAACTCGCGTATTTCATTTTAAAATATCAAAAATGACATAAATATTTTATGTAGTTGCATAATTGTGGAGGGGGGCAAGGGGGGAGTGCCCTCCTGACAATTTTTTGAGAGATTAAGGTATAATTTCCCCCCCCCCCCCAGATAATCCAACAGTACTAATAGCACCTTTTATTAATGAAGTTTTATGGGTATTATTTAACAATATATGTACCTAGTACCTAACCTGCTACCTACAATTTATATTAATCTAAACCACAAAATGAGTTAAAAGACTTATGTAAAATCAAACAATTAGATATACTGTATAAAATACATACAATAAAAATTTGTTTTAACTGGTGAGGGGGAGGGGTGTCAGAGTTTTGGTAATAATATATTATATTACCTTCCCTAAATTTTTTCCCAGTTACGCCACTGATCTTATGGGAAAATATGGAAGCCCATCTGTCACATTAATAATTATAACATTTTTATTGCTATTATTATTATTAACCTAGCCTTTGTTTGAAACCAAATCAACATAATTATTGAATTCGTTTGAATTGCTTTTTAGTTATTACCAATTATTTTTTGTTTATATATGTTTCAAGTTTTATACAATTATATGATAACATTTTAAAAATATATTAAAATAAATTAATTTTCTTTACATTTTAATAATTTATTTGTGTGAAACAGCGCATGTAAATTTTAGTATTTCATTAACAATAAATTCTCGCCTTCATTTAGGTTATGTAGAAATCAAAACGTTTTGCGCAAAAAAATTCGAGTAAAATTTTCAAACTCACCTAAAGGTTCATATAATAATTCTACCAATACATTTTCCATGCTTTGCTTAAAAGAAAAATGTGAGAAAATAAGGATTATTACAAAGTGTAATTTTCTTCAACATTTTTCTTATTAAACCATTAATACTTTATATTAAGGAACTATAAGCATACTAGCATACATAGCTACTAAAGTGCTCTACTTTATATCAAAAATACCTTACTTTGTTCTGTTTCTGTGTATTGTTGTTGTTCATCTCCTCTTATAGGGTTGTTTAATTTTTTTTTTGAGTGGCTTGAATGTAAAAAATTATAATAATTGTATGCACTCAATACAGCCGCAGCTGTTATTTCAACCATGTCCATTTTGTACAACCGCAAGAAACAACTAAGTGAGTCACGAGACTACACAAGAGTGTGGAGTATGCATTCGTGCACTGCCTCGCCTCGCTTTAATTCAACAAGAGTCTCGACGAGGCGACCTTGCGAGTGTGGAGCTGGCTAGCTAGCTCTACGTATATTTACTTATTTTTATTTACTAATAACAAGCGACTTACAAACACGCATTATTTTTACGAAGTATTGCCATCATGGAATTTCAAACATTTGAGTTTAAAGTACCAATACCTTGTAGAACTTTTGGAAAATTACAAATTATTAACAAAACATTTTTTTTTCTAGCATATTTTAATCGTATTTTGAACAATTAATTTTTTTTAAGGTACATAAGATAGGATAACTACGTTTAAAATTAATCATCCATTCATTCCGGGGGGGGGGGGGGGCTGAATCCCCAAAACCCCTCCCTGCGTCCGCCACTGATATTAAGATAGAACAATCTATTCAGATAATTTTATTAGCTCGTAATATAACAAGTATTGAGGAAGTTATTTTAATAGCAATGGAACACGAATATACGTTTCGTAAATCGGATAATGTAACGAATAATAATAGAAATAATCGAAACTATTTTAAAAATGATTT